GCACCAACTGGCCCATTTCTCATAAATGGGTTTTCTTCTATTCAGTGTTTAGTAAGCTCCTTGTCAACAAAATAACCCCTAGGCTGAATAAAAATCCCCTTAGACCCTGATAGCCTTGGAGGATTATTTGCTCAGCAGTGATTTAAGGGATCTCTGACAACTTCATTTTGATATATTTTCCAAGAAAGTATATTACTAAAAACCCTGAACACTTAAGCATTTGCAATTTTAAAGACTTAATGCTCGGAGAAAAATGGGAATCCTACCAGGATTTTTGATGGCTATTTAGAAGATGGGATATCTAATCCATTCCTTCACTTATTGCAAAGAAAGTAAATTCAAGGCAACAGTAATTCACTTGATCAAAAGAAGTTTTCAGCCCCAACGGCTGTTTGGGGCTCTCATGATTAGTCCTGCGCAAAAAAAAAAAAAAAAAAAGACTGAAGGCAAAGAGTTATCCCAGCATAGACTTCACTTATCAACTACATTTCTTTTTTTTTTTTTTTAAAGATTTTATTTATTTATTTGAGACAGAGAGAATGAGAGACAGAGAGCATGAGAGGGAGGAGGGTCAGAGGGAGAAGCAGACTCCCTGCCGAGCAGGGAGCCCGATGTGGGACTCGATCCCGGGACTCCAGGATCATGACCTGAGCCGAAGGCAGTCGCTTAACCAACTGAGCCACTCAGGCGCCCTCAACTACATTTCCAAGATCCTATTTGTTGGTAGTGGAATATTGAAAACCACAAAATAGTTCATGTTTACAGCTTACAATTATAGTTCATAAAATATTATTTACAACACAACAGAATTTATTGCTTCCTTACTTTATATAGTCAGTAATCCTCATGTACTTAAAACTATTTGATATATAAATTCAGTATACTGGGTGGATGGGTTAGCCTGGTGATGGGTATTAAAGAAGGCACATACTGAATGGAGCACTGGGTGTTATACGCAAACAATGAATCATGGAACACCACATCAAAAACTAATGATGTAATGTATGGTGATTAACATAACATAATAAAAAAATAAAAATTCAGTATACTGAGACCTTAAAACCTATCTCTGTCACTAATTAGTGGTATGATTTTGATCTTGGCCTCATAGATATGTGAAAATTAAGTATGATAATGTATCCAAGGTATCTAGTACAGGGAACAGGCACATAATAGTTTGTCAATTGATGTTAATTTCCTTTCTTCTTCCCTTCTCCCTTTTCAAGTACATACAACCTTACTACCTACAATGCCATAATTTTATTCATCTATTTATCTTTAAAAATATTTACTGAGTACACACTACATACCAGTTTCCCTGCATTGCATTGGGCAATAGAACTGTATACAAACCCAAACCCAACAAAGTCCCTGTCTCACAGAATTTACACTTTTGTGGGAGATACAGAACAATAACAGCATTTTTCCTTAAATGGGTCAGTCATGAATGATTCTCTAAAGAGGTAAAGTAAAAAAGTCATATGAAATTCTGGAAAAGAGCTTTCCAAGCAAACAGAATTGCTAATGCGTAAGCATGGGTGCATCAGAACTTAACACTAAGTGGGGTAGCAAAGGCAAAATTCCATGGAAGACAGAGACTTAAATGAGACTCTCTTATTCCTAAAATGAAGCTGAAAAAATCTGCTTTCAACCACTGACCGAACCTATGGCTTATGTGACACTGGGAAGTGGAGGAAGAGAGTAAGGACAGTCTGTTGACTACGGGTGAGTCAAGCCACCCACAGGTTGGATGAGGCATCTGCAATACCTTCTATATGACCAAAAAGGAGTTCCAATCTGGTAATATGAATCTGGTTCTTTCTTTGGGATCAAAGAGCTAGTGAGAAGCATATGCAAACCATTCTGCATAAAGGCAGGATGAAAGAGAAAATGTCTTTTAAAACCTTCCACCACCTCCTCCTCACTTGCTCACGTGCTTGCTCTGTGGGAGGTCCTACTACTATGTTGTAAGAACCCTGTGGAAAGGCCCATTTGGTGAGGAATTAAGGCCTCCTGACAACAACCATATGAGGGAGTCTTCTTGGAAGCAGATGCACCAACCCCAGCCACGCCTTCAGAGACTGCAACCCCCACTGCCATCTTGAATGCAGCCTCATGAAAGACCCTAAGCAAGAAACACTCAGCTGAGCTGTTCCAGGATTGCTGACCCTAAGAAACTGAACAAAACTCCACCAGTCTTTTCAGCTATAACAGAACATCTGGTAGTATTTCTTCAGGCTTGTAAAAGCTCAAAAATGAAATGTGTTGGGGTGCCTGGGTTGCTCCGTCTATTAAGGGGCCAACTCTTGATTTTGGCTCAGGTCATGATCTCAAGGTCGTGAGATCAAGCCCCACTCAGGCTCCGTGCTGGGCATGGAGCCTGCTTAAGATTCTCTCTTTGCCCTTCCTGTCAAGAAAGAAAAGAACAGAAGGGGAAGGGGAAGGGAAAGGGAAAGGGAAAGGGAAAGGGAAAGGGAAAGGGAAAGGGAAAGGAAAGGAGAAGGAAGGAAGGAAGGAAGGAAGAAGGATAGAAAGAAAGAAAGGAAGGAAGGAAGGAAGGAAGGAAGGAAGGAAGGAAGGAAGAAAGAAAGGAAGGAAGAAAAGAAAGATGTTTATCATTTAGTGCAAAGGCCAGAGAAGGAATCTTCCAGAACACAGGTGGGAGAGTGAGCTCATGGGAGTGACCAGTCTGGACTCTGGGCCAGGAGAAGATGCCAGCACAATTTCCTCACTTCCAGAATCACATCATTATCATGGACACATAGTGTTGGCTGAGTTACAAACACTTTCATTCATGCTCAAAAATTTTCAGGGGCGCCTGGGTGGCTCAGCCAGTTGTGTCTCCCTTCGGCTCAGGTCATGATCCTGGGGCCCTGGGATGGAGTCCCGCATCTGGACTCCCCACTTGGCGGGGAGCCTGCTCCCTCTCCCTCTGCCTGCCACTACCCCTGCTTGTGCACTCCCCACCCCTGTCTCTCTGTCAAATAAATAAAATTCTAAAAATCTTTAAAAAAAAATTTTTCAATGGCCCAAAGATGATATTGATCTACAGAATCTTAGATGACCTGTTTCCAGGCCCACATCTAGCCTAACCTGCCATTACTTTCTTTTCCTCATGTTCACTCCATCTAAGCATTTTCAAGCCTGGCCCAAAGGGCTCCATGAACAAAAGAAAGGTCGAGAACCACAGTCACTGCCATGCAGTGGTTGATGGAGTCATCTTTAGAGAAATGACCATGCAACCAAACATTTCTCCCTCGTTCTTTAAATGTGAGTTTTTCCTTCCTTGCCTGCCTCCCTTAGGGGCTTCCAGTTCAGAAACATAAAGCTTTCAACTTCTCGCATCTATTTCACAGTTACAAGTGTTGTGAGAAGGAAACCCGAGAAAGTTCCTCTGTCTCTCTGAATGGTAAAATTTTATCTGCAAAATGAAAACTTTTTAAATAGCTAAACTTTTTCACTTCCCATTGATAGTCATTCAAATTTAAACACAACTGTCTTTGGAAGCTATGATTTACTAGAAGCCACGTCCAACAGACACTGTCATCTCATCACAATCTCTAAGGTAGCTTTAGTATCCTCACTTTAAATGTCCCATTTTAAATTGAGCCTCAGAGAGGTTTAAGTAACTGACTGTGGGAAACAGAATGCCACAACAACCACTGGTGCATGGTTGCTCAGACTCCGAGATCTCTGAGAAAACTGGAGATTGCAGGGTTAAAAATAACCCGAAAGGATCACCTTGGGGCACCTGGGTGGCTCAGTCGTTAAGCGTCTGCCTTCGGCTCAGGTCATGATCCCAGGGTCCTGGGGTCGAGCCCCACATCGGGCTCCCTGCTCAGTGGGAAGCCTGCTTCTCCCTCTCTCACTCCCCCTGCTTGTGTTCCTGCTCTCGCTGTCTCTCTCTCTGTCAAATAAATAAATAAAATCTTAAAAAAAAAAAAAAGAAAGAAATGCCCTTGCGATGTGTGTGGTCAGTTCTAAAGTACGCAGCAGCAGATGTTTAGTAGATAGGAAGACAGCTGTAAACAGCACACTGTGCACTCCCCTCTTTGTTCCTTTATCCTGTTTTAAAGATTCTTACGTGCTTGACTAATCCTGTGTACATGGAGGAATGTGCCTTACTACACCCCTGCTGTAGAAGGTACATGAGTATGGAAAATAAACCTCTGCGCCTCGGGCTGTTTGCTCGGGGTCCCCCGTGCCTCGCTATACTGTCGTCTCTTTTTCTCAGTTCCTTCGCCGCCCCAGGTCCCCGACTCTCTGAGGTCGACAACTGACCCCGATCATACAGCTACTAAACTAGGGATGTAGTATTTGAATCCACAACTCTGTCCCTGGGACGTCATCCCTATGGCGACTTAGCTCATTCTGACTTCAGTCCCCCTCACAAGACCAACTAACAACTATCCATAGACAAGGCACCAGTGTGAAAATTCCAGAACCCGGTGGATAAAGCCGAAGCAACCCCCTGGACCCCAAAACTGAAAAGGAAGGGTAAGAGGAGCAACTACACATTTACCACATTGCAAATTCACAGTCCTGCCCAACTGCTCGACGCAGCCTCTAGTCTATCGGTCCGGAAGTCTGGCCAGGGACAGCCAGCTGCTGTGGAACACAGCCTACCTTCCCGGCAGAGAGCCAAGCCAGCAGCCATGCCCAGCTGTTGAACACAGCTTCCAGGGCCACAGAACCAGGGACCCCGAACAGCAGCGGCATCCCGCAGCGCTGCCTGGCACTGGACCCTGCCCCACCGCACAATGCAGCCTGTGGCCTCGCCCATATAAAGAGCCCAGCCAGTGACCATGCCCAGTGGCAGAGCACGCTCAGCAGCCACACCCGACAAGGAAGCCAGGACACCACCCGACCAGGCCACGGAGCACAGCCCCACCCCCAACTGCGGGACGCAGCTGAAGGCCCCCCTACACCAGGGAGCCGGGCCAGCAACTTCACCGCCTAGAGGAGCAGAGCCAACGGCCCACCTGCGCTCGAAGCCTGACCTGTGGTCCTGCACAACTTCGGGACGCAGTTTGAGTCACGGCCGGATCACACAGCACAGCCTGAGCCCCCGGTCCAACTGCGAAACCCGACCGGCTGCCACCCGAACCCAGAATCCTGTGGGTGGCACCATCCAATCAGAGTACAGCCTGAGGCTCATCCAACCAGGAGTGACGGCGGCGCCCAGCCTGCAAGCCCTGCACAATCGCCCAATGCATTAGTGGCGCTGCCCTGCGTGGGAACGTAGCCCGCAACCGCACCAGACCAGAGGCGATTGGGGAGCACAGCTAGTGGCCCCAAACTCACCGCAGAGTGTGGCCAGCAGCCCTGCCTGAGCGGGGAGCCAACCCAGCAGTCTCACTTGAATGCAGAGCCCAGCCAGCAGATCCACCCAGCCTCAGCACAGGCAGCTACCTCACCCAACAAGAAACTCCCATAGCAGCCCCACCTGCTCCCAGATACCACCAGCTGACTTGTCCAATACCCCAAACTGAGCTAACTGGTGAAGGTCTTTCCCTGTAACGTCTGGAAGAGACTGCTTACTCAAGTGCACAGATAACCAACGCAAAGATACAAAGATCAGAAAGAATTAAGTAAAGATGATACGACCAAAGGAAACAAAGCTCCAACAACCGACCCTAAAGAAACGGAGATCTATGAAGTTCCTAAAAAATTAAAAATAGAGGGGCGCCTGGCTGGCGCAGTCTATAGAACATGCGACCCTTGGTCTTGGGGTTGGTACCCCGTGTTGGGGGTAGAGATTACTTTAAAAAAATAAAATCTTAAAAAAAATTAAAAATAGAACTAGCATTTGATCCAGTAATCCCACTTCTGAATATATATCTGCAGATAAAATCACTATCTTGAAGTGATATCTGCACCCATATGTTCATTGCTGCATTATTTACAACAATTTGTTGTAAATTTCTGGATGGTGCTGGGCCTGGAAGGGTGGCTGGGAAAGCTCGGGGCCCTCGTGGAGACGGGGGCCTGTGGCCGGCTGAGGCAGCCCCGGGAGAGGCCTGGCTTCCAGATCTAGGCCCTGTCACACCACCCTGGGACAGGTCCCCTGAGAAGCCAGGTTTCTGTAAAGCTCAGATGAACCGAGGAGCGCTGGCCAAGTAAAATGGATGGAAATAGGACCCCCCACTCCTCTGGGAGCAAAGATTAGAGAGCCCGACTGCCTTGTTTTCCGCCCAGCTGAGAGTCACTCAGCAAACACACGGCTCCTCTGAGGAGGCGGCCCCAGTGTCGTGGTTGTGGACAGGAGGAGCTCTGGGCCATCATGCCTGGCTTTGCATTGCTGTGTGACCTGAGAACCATGGCTTGACTTCTCTGATCCTGCTTCCAGTGAAATGTAGGGGTTGGACGAGAAGAGTCCCTTGGTAGATCTGATGATGACAAAATTCTGTCCTGTTACTTTGCCATCACCCCCATGTCCCCCTCCCCCCCCACCCCCCCACCCCCCCCACCCCCGGAAGCGCAGGTCTGTTTTCTGTCCCTATCGCTTTGCCTTTGCCAGGATGTCATGTAGTCAGAAGCATTCCATACAAAGACCTTCGCAGCTGCTTCCCTTGGCTTCGCGGGTGCTGAGGCCCCCCCCAGCTGGTGTGAGTGCCGTGCTGGCTGAGGGGTAGGGGTGTTCTATGGTGTGGACGCACCACCATGGGCTTGTCCATTTGCTGCCCATCGAGGGACATTAAGGCGTTTACTTGGAGCCTTTTCATTCCTCCACAACTGTGTTAGTCCCTGGGGCTGCTGTAAGGGAAGGCCACAGACTGGGCAGGCCCAGCAGCAGAGCCCAGACGCTTACAGAGACAGGGACGCCAGGATCAAGTTGAGGGTCTGCTTCCTGCCTGCAGGCGGGTGTCTGCCCTCAACTTGTGTGTCCCTCCCTCTGTTTATAAGGACAATGATCCCCTCGGGGGGGCCTCACCCCCATGACCTCATCTAGTCTACTCACCTCCCAAAGGCCCCACCTCCACACCCTGTTGCCCTGGGGCCTAGAATTCAACAGAAATTTGCAGGGGTCACAAACCTTCAGTGGACAGCAGCAACCCACAAGCCTCCTAGAAAGTCTGTGGCATGGAAACAACCTAAATGTCCACCAACGGATGAATAGATGAAGAAAATGTATGGAATATTACTCAGCCTTAAAAAAAAAAAAAAAAAAAAAAAAGAAGGAAATCCTGCCATTTGCAACACCATGCATAAAGCTGGAGGACATTATGCTAAGTGAAATAAGCCAGTGACAGAACAAATACTGCATCTTTCCAAATTTATGAGAAATCTAAAATGCTCAAATTAATGGGGCAGAGAGTAGAATAGTGGTTACCAGGGGTTGAGGAAAGGAGAAATGAGAAGGTATTAAAGAGCAGGTTACCACATGGGCTCTGGGACTAAATCCCACTGTGGGCCCTCTGAGAACCATGTAAAACATGCTTCACAATTGTCCCACTGATGTATGGGAAGGCTGAAGCACGTGATCCACTGACTTCTGCCTCCTATCCGCTGAGGCTTTCTCCCACTCTTCCAGGTTGCCACAGTGCATGGCAAGCTTCTAAGGTGCCAGAGAAAACCTTCAGACAGTGAAGCAAAGAAATTCAGGTGCTTAAGATGCAAACTGGTCAGTATGCCAGAAATTCCCTACCACAGAAGCAGTAGCTCAAAGCTATTGTAACAATATGGGAAGGGACATTAAGAACATCTGTTACAATGTGTGTATTAGGTAACACTTGCTGTTGTAAAAGATAAATCCCCAAATCAGTGGCTTAATACAATAAAATTTATTTCTCACATAAAATTTAACCAATAGGACAGTAGGGTTGAGGCGGGGTGGAAGAGTAACAAATGTGTTCCTTGTCAGTATAAGGAAACAGCTAACAGACAGGAGAACAGAGAAGAGCAGATTGTGTGAAAAATTTAAATAAGGCTACATGGCCACACCAAAGCAAAAAGGAGTTTGGGTAATGTGGTCTAACTGTGTGCCCAGCAGGGAAAGAACAGTGGATGAACAGCTAGTGATCTCTGCCATACATGCCAAGGAAAACAATTAACTCAGCCCAGAATGCTCAGGAAAGGCTTAAAAGCATAGATGGCCCTTAAATGTTAAATATAAAGGAAGGTGTGATGGTTAATGTTATGTCAATTTCACTGGCCCAAGGGAGCCCAGATATTTGGTTAAACATTATTCTGGGCCTTTCTGTAAGGGTGTTTGTGAATGAGATTAACATTTCAATCCATAGACTTCTTAAAGTAGATTGCTTTCTGCCTGAATAGAACAAAAAAGTGGAGTTACAGAGAATTTGCTTTATCTGCCTGTCTTTGAGCTGGGACATTAGTTTTCTCCTGTTTTGGGACCCGGACTAGAATTTGCACCATTAGTTCTCCTGGTTCTCAGTTCTTTCAACTCAAACTAGAACTATACCATCAGCCCTCCTGGGTCTCCAGCTTGCTAACTATAGATCCTGGGACTTCTCAGCCTCCATAATCATGCAAGCCAATTTCTTACAATAAATCTTACATGTAGATCTTATATTGGTTCTGCTTCTCTGGAGACCCAGACTAATACAGAAGGGTGGAAATTTGTCATTGGATTAAGGAATAAAAGCATTACAGGCAGAGCAAATGTGTAACAGGGAAATAGAAAAGAACCCAGGCAGATTCAGAGAACTAAAGTAAATTTGTTTTGACAGGACCCAAAGTGGGTGTGGGTATACAGAAGAAGAATCCGCAAATGCAGAGAGGAATCTGACTTTAAGACTCCTGACGTTACACAAAGAAGGAAATGAGGAGCTAGAGAATTTTAAGCAAAAGTATAAAGTAATACAACGGGTTTTATGATACTATTTTGGCAACTGAAAGAAAGATGCTTTGTAAGAGCAAAAGGATTTTCTGCTTAATACAGCTGACCCTTCAACATCTTAGGGGTTAGGTATGCCAACACCCTACATAGTCAAAAATCCAAGTATTCCTTTTTTTTCTTTTAAGTAGGCTCCACGCCCAATAGGCTTGAACTCATGACCCTGAGATCAGTAGTCGCATGCTCTACCCACTGAGCCAGCCAGGCACCCCCAAAATCCATGTATAACTTTTGAATCACCTTACTAATAACATAAACAGTCAACGCATAATTTGTATGTTTTATGTATTATATGCTGTATTCTTGCAATACACTAAGCTAGAGAAAAGAAACTGTTATTAAGAAAATCATAAGGAAGAGGGGCGCCTGGGTGGCTCAGTCGTTAAGCGTCTGCCTTCAGCTCAGGTCATGATCCCAGGGTCCTGAGATCCAGCCCCACATCAGGCTCCCTGCACCGCGGGAAGCCTGCTTCTCCCTCTCCCACTCCCCCTGCTTGTGTTCCCTCTCTCGCTGTCTCTCTCTCTCTGTCAATTAAATAAATAAATAAAATCTTTAAAAAAAAGAAAGAAAATCATAAGGAAGAGAAAATACATATACAGTACTGTACTCTATCTAAAAAAATCCACATATAAGTGGGTCTGTGCGCTTCAAGCCTGTGTTGTTCAAGGGTCAACTGTATTGTTAAATATCAACTATCTTGAGTTCTGTGACACTTAACAAGAAAGACTATGGGGCGCCTGGGTGGCTCAGTTGGTTAAGCGACTGCCTTCAGCTCAGGTCATGATCCTGGAGTCCCGGGATGGAGTCCCGCATCGGGCTCCCTGCTCGGCAGGGAGTCTGCTTCTCCCTCTGACCCTCCTCCCTCTCATGTGCTCTCTCATTCTCTCTCTCTCTCAAATAAATAAATAAAATCTTAAAAAAAAAAAAAAAGAAAGACTATGAATAGTTAAAAAGTGCATGGGCTGGAAGTCGGGCAGACCTGAGTTTAACACTACCTAGCAAGTTATAAGAATCAGATGGTTTGTATGTAAACTTCTAGCACGATGTATGACCAATAGTATGTGCTCAAAGAAAAACTTAGCTCCTTTCTTTCTTCTCTGAACAACAAAATAAATAGAAAGCATGAGTTTGAGAACAAGAGCAAAAAATGAATTGGTTGAAGCTCTGATGCTGGAGAACTGCTTGATATTGCTAATTAGGATCAGATCCTACTTGTTATTTC